AGAATCTGAGCCAATATGAGTGATATAGAGCATGGGATATAGGAATTCGACCTTATGCAATTGAGGGAGCTGATTAAACAGTCCACGTGAAGCAATTGCATCAGTGACTGAAGCCTACAGGACCTTCTGTCAGGAATGAAAAGCAAACATGAGCTGGGAGAAACCAGGACAAACGAGGACCAGCTGGAATGCAGGGGCACCAGATGGAACCTGCATTGGTCTGTCACGACCGCTAAGCATCCAACTTCAGCTTCTCAAGTGAACTTCTGGTGCACTTGCCATAGAGCTGTATAGGCACCTGGACCAGGATTCCGAGAAGCTGAAGAAGAAGATCCAGCAGGAGCTGGAGGCCCCTCAGGGCTGGCTGCTGCCCCATACCCGTAAGGTGAGCCCGCAGAGAAGTAACAGCGTGCAGGAGCTGAACAGCACCCGCCTGCCCCTAAGCTGGTTACCGCTCCACTTCTGCTTTCCAAACCCAATGTTCATTTCTCTTAGGCCCAATCCTGACCCAGAAATGAACAAGGAAGGAAATTCTGGGAAATGTAGTTTTGCTTGGGCAGATTGACACAGTACATACCATCACTCATTGAGAGAACACACATTTCCAGTATCAGGTTTGAAAGAGAGGACATCACTACCGATTTTACAGACATTTAAAGAAACAAGCTCAGGCTTATTTGTTGCTTACCCTAAAAACATCCTAGCTGTGTGTGCTCCCAGGAGAAAGAAAGTTTATATCCAAAAAGAAAAAGACACCAATGTATCCATTCTTCTCTTTTCCTTGCTGAGTAAAATATTTCAATGTATTAAAGCAAAACCTATAGAATAGATCAATTAGATCATCAGAATTTACTTTGCAAAAGAATTCTTCAGGCAGCAGAACATGGATGTGATTCATGGTGGATCATTATTCCATTGACAAGCTCAAGGGCAAGAGCAGCAAAAGTTAAAAACCATTAGCCACTGCACATTAAAGATCAGTGAGAAACGAGGATAATTTTCTGAAATGAAAATTGGTGTGCCCATAATACTTTCAAGCAGAATGGCATACAACCTTAAGAGCCCTTTATCGCCCAAAGTGGGCATCTTTGTACATGCTCCAGCTCCTTCGTTTCCTTATCATATAAGTTCTTTGTCTTTCACTGTCCGGAATATTTGACATGACATTCTTCACTATGCAGAGCTTTTTGCGAATAGTGATTATGAGCAGGGGGCCTGTGAATTAGGTTTCTGCTTTCTCTGCCCAGAGAGAACAAAGCCTGCAGTGAGTGACTTTCCCAGAAGCCTAGTAGAGCCCCTCGCAACATTATTGGTCACACAGCTTAGCACATGCTGGTAGACCATAATGAGAAGGGCAAGCAAAGGCTTAATCAAGATCCTACCACCTAAAACTCCCACTTGCCTCTATCTCCACTGCCAGTGAGGAAATGTATCTGATCAATTAATTCACCCTGGGATAGGAGGTGCCTTCTCAGAGCCTTTACTTTTTTAAAAAGATCCCTGGAGAAATCAAACACAGTGAGGATTTGTAATGGCGAGTTTTCAGGCCCCAGGGAGGCTGGGCTGGGAGAGATTGGGGTACTGTGGGGAGAATTTTCAGACTCTGTTTGAATCCTTACTTTCTCCCTCCAGACTTCCTTCACTTTTCAGTGAATCTACGGAGTGTCAACTATCTCATAGGCAGGTGGGCTCATGCCTGCACTGACTGGAAACTTGATATCACTAGCTCCCTGGCTGACAGTCTGTTTTTTCATCATTTCCAACAAAGCCATTGTTCCTGACCTCAGATAGACCTGGGATGCTAGTTAACAGCCTGATTGTGTCTGCTGCCACATCTCATGTCTTCTGGCAGGATTTATGAGGTGGCGTTGTTCAAATAGAGAGTGCTAAAAACGTTCCCAGGGCCAAGAGCTCCTCTGGGGTCACTGAGTCACAAAGTCATCATCCAGAGAAGAGCATTTATCGCGGATCCGAAGACGTATGAGAGAATACCTTGGAGGAGGAGAGAGTTAAATGAGATGGCGGTTGTGCAAACACTCCACTGAGAACGCAGCGAGAGGGGTTTGAGGAGCCTTCTCTTCCTCTTAGAATTAATTATAATTTTAAAGCCTGGCAGCTTGGTTTTATATTGCAACTTTCTTCAATTAAATCTACATTTTTTTATCATATTTCATGTCATCCCACTAATTGCTTTTAGTGTCTACTTGTGTCAATTGCTACCACTATACTGTTAAAAAAAAAAAAAAGGCTATTCTACCAAAAGAAAATTAAAAATGTAAATGTATCTTATCTCATATTGTCTCTTCCCTTTCTGAGGCAATGAGTGCCAGAAGAGAGGGAGAAATAATTAGTCAGCAAAATCCAGCAACACCCACACTGGAATTAAGCTTTAAGCAGTGTGCTGGAGAGCATTTCTGAGCTAGGACGCTTCCGGTGCCCTGAGTTCGTTCTTATTCAGCCAATGCATTTTGAGCACCCACCGTGTGCCAGACCCTGTTCTAGACACTTTGAAGCCCAAGCAGGATCAGCCAAGTGTCCGTGAGAGCAGCCTCCAGCTTCCCAAAGATGACAGAACCATTATTCACACTTGAAACTCTATACTTCTGGTGATTTTTTCCCAGACAGTTAAAATCATGACAAGATGAAGTGAACTACTATTTCCTGATGTTCCTTCAGTAAATACTGATAGCTACTGCCTTCCCACCGCCTCCACAATGTTCTACTTTGAAAATAATGACGGGTCAGGGAAAAGCATCAGAAACAAAATAAAGCAAAACTGTCCTCTTATTAAATGTCATTAAAAGACTCTTTGGCTTGAAAAGAAGGACTGTGTTGGAGGGGCCTCTGAAGACCAAGGTGGCAGGAAGTGCCTCCAATTTCTCGCCATCTACTGGTGCTATAAGGGCTTGCAAGCCCACTTGCAAACTAGTGCAGTCACAGAAGCCTCTTAAAACAAGAAGGGGATCTGAAACAGCTGTGTCCACTGGTGTCAGTCTGGATTCCAGGAGTCCTAGAGGTCCAAGGGGATGCCTCCAGGCCACTAGGAGGAGCTGTGCAGCGTGGTCCCAGAGAGGGACAGACCGCAAAGCTCCAGTTCTCTGCTGGACTTCAACCATAGGGGCTTCCTTTTCATTTGTTTTACAGATCGGTGTCCCCTGGGAAATTCTGTATGTGGAAAGGGCTCCATAACTTTGGAAGTAATTGAAAACCATTAGCCCATGCCCCGCACCAGCATGCCAAAGAGCCTTGTTGATGAAGTATTCTCTTTGGAACCAAAATAGTTTGAAATAGCAAACATTTTTGTGAATGAGGAAGTAAGACCTGGGTTGTGGTCGACACTGTTATGTTGGTATCTTTTCTTCTGGTGTCTGGAGCCCTTTCTTAGCCCTGGAGGGTTGTGCAGAGGGAAAGCACTCCAGCAACAGGAGAAGGGCATTCTCTCCTTGCCCGTGGTCCTCACCCTCTCTTACCCTGCCTCACGTGCTGGGGAAGCCGAGCCAGCATAACATAGCCCCGAGATACTTTCTGACACTCAAGCCACATTTCCATGCAGGTCTGCATAATGTAAGCTAAGCTTAGCTTACTTTAAAATAGGCAGTCCTATGGTTGGATAAGACACTGCTTTTATTGCTGCCATAAACCAGGATTCAGCTGATGGAGCCTTAACCATTATTCTTCTTGCTCGTTCTTTTTCTCAGTCCATGAAACAGTAAAGGATGGTTTCAGGGAAAAGTTAATAAGAATATGCATCTAATGGATATTGCACAATGTTTGCGTTATGGTGATGAGTAAAGCCATTTTGGAGCAGATCCCACATAACCATGATTCCTGGGTATCTGTGAGGATGGAGCGATGCATAGAATCTAGAGGCGAAGAAGCCCAATCCTCCAACAGAAGCACAGGCCTTTATAGAAATTAGAAACAAAGCTGCCATTTATTGGATGTTTAGCATAAGTCAGAGCTTCTGTAAACGGCATCGCTAATTCTCAAACAACCTTTTATGTTAAGTCTTCTCATTTTAAGTTGGGAAACTGAGACTTAGTGAAGTTAGTGTCCAAGCCACTGAGCTTCCAAATCCAGATCTGCCCGACCTGTTCTCCGCCTGTTTCCCACACTCCGACTCTGTCTGCACACCTCCAGTGACAGGAGCTCACGGCGCCCCCGGCAACACTGAGTGCTGGACAACACTGTCAATAGGAAGCACTTTGTGCGGAAGCGAACTGTGTGGTCCTCCCTTCTCTGTTTACGCCTCTCTATCCAGTCTTACCTCATTTGTCCTATCATAAATGATTATTTCATTTCAAATTATATAAAGGAAAATTGGTAGAATGATCAAAATTCTCAGAGTAATCAGGTTGATGTACATCAACCAACATTTATTATGGACACCCAAAGATGTCCACCCTGGTTTGTTTTCTCAATTCTCGGTTCTAAGGCCTCTAAAAGGAACACTACTCGAAGAAAACATGGTCTATAGTTAAGATGGATGAAACTTTAGTTTGTATTGATTTTGGTAAGACAAGCAGTTAAGAACATCTTTAATTACCTGATCCCAGGAGTTATGTTTGAATTAACTAAATTTTGATTTCTCTCTCTTCTGGGACACACTCTCAACTGATTTCTACTGATGATTTGAGAATCAATAGATAAATGTGCTTCCAAGTAATTAATAATACTTCTTTAGACGATTCATAATTTAAGAGAATAAAATATTTTTGTTGCCTATATCGGGGGATATTTGGCGATGCCTGGAGGCATTTTGGGTTGTCACAGCTGGGCACGGGGGTGCAATTGGCATCTAATGGGTACAGGCCAGGGATGTTGCTAAACATCCTGCAGCGCTCAGAACAGCCCTCCGCAGAGAAAGATCTGCCTCAATATGTCAATAGAGATGAGGCTGAGAAACCCCAATCTACAACAATACCAAAAGAATACAAATAGTAAGGATTATTGACTTCACGATACAAAAAATAATTTATAATAGTAACTTAACATTGGTGCCCACCATAATATCAAGAATCAATTGAAATGAATTATAATGGCTCATAATTTAGTTGAAGAGCGCAACTGCAACAGTTATTGTTATCCAAGGGAAATATTCCTAACCCTCCTTTTTCTGTAGAAATTGTTAAACAACAGCAAATCATACCACGTTTCTGGGAGGCAGGCAGCTTAATTCTCAGATTTCTTGAAGATAAATGGAAAAACAAATTTGGGGATAATATGGAACGTGTCGTCTTGGCATTCACATGACGATGATGGAAGGAGTCTTGACTTTTAAACCTGAAGACAAGTGAAGGAGTCACCCACTATGAACCAGCTTTGGGCAGGTCACTTAAGCCTCACACTTCAATTTCCCCAACCTTGAAACGAAAATAAAGGAAGAACATCAGACATGAAACATTAAGATGATTGTATCAAACGAAACTTCTCAGCCCCCTGTTAAGTATAAAATTCTATCCTAGTAAGGTTTTACAAAGAGATCCATTACTATAAGTGAAAATAGACACCTCAAGCAGCCATAAGAAATTGCCCAATAATATTTAAATTCTTAATGACAAGCCTTAAAATAGTTATGCCCCAGTCAATTCCATCCCAGATTTAGTCATTCTTTTCTAATCAAACACAATTATGTGAATTAAATGCTCTTAATAATGTCCCGAAATTAGATTACGGCATTGCACCTGGAGCTTTCTCTATTACCCACAGAGCAGCATCTCTTTGAGAAGCAGAAACAGTTGAGTGAGTTCTGAAATGAGACTAGAAAGGTTGAAAATAGATATGGGGAAAAAGAAAAGTGTATGAAACAATCTTTCAGTTAAGTAAAACCAAATAGAAGAAAAGAGACATATAGGTCAAAATCTGGGGTACACAGTACTCTTCCCTATGGTTTTCTGACGTTAGACAACTTTTTCCTGTTTCAAAAGGACAGCAACGTGACTTTACTAAAAAGAAGCCTATATTGAATAATTGGAGAAGACATGGAAGGACAAACAACTTAAAAAAATAAAAGGGCAAGCACAATGTCCCAGAGAATATCTTTGATTAAATAATTTGATTTCTTTTTCTGTGTTACATGGAAGCAAGATCACCTAGAAGTGCACCTCTCTGTGAAACTAAGTTGAAAAAAAATTTTATATATATAGGTTTCAGGAGCAAAGGACCTCTTTGAATTTGTAAGGAGATGCACTCTAAGAATTGAACACGATGCTGGGCCAACACTGATTTTCCACATTGAACAAAATGAAGTTCGGGGGGAAATCACACCAAATTAATTTTCTCAAAGCACAGCTGATTTACTCACTTCCTGCATCATAACAAACTCAAAAGCAAGCACAGGCTCCGCACAAAGCAAAAATCGACCCCACTCCTGCTCAATGCTGGCTTAACCCTGCACCCCGCCTGTTTTCTGAGGATCTGCAGCTGTAACTGTTTTTATGCAAAACTCCTCCACTGGACTAGACTGTGCTCGCTCTGGTCCTCTGCTCTCCTCTCTCTTGATGGCTGCTCTTGTAGTTTCTTTCCTCTGCATGGCCAAGGAGGCCAGTCACTTGAAGCACCCCTGGAACACCACCTGAGGCCACTGGATGAACCCCAAGCTGGACAACAGCCACTACTCTAACCCCCAACCCACCTGGGTCCCCTCTCAGAAATGGACTTTCTCACACTGAGCCCAGCTCCTGGGCCACCCACGCGTTGCCATACAATGTCTTCCACCAAAACCAAATAGATCACATTTTGCCATATATGTGAGGTCTCCAAATTCTCTCTGAAATAAAACCACAAATATGGCTAGCTCCCAGCTGCGCCTTTCATTTCTTTCTTCCCCATCCTTTCGTACAGTTATCCACTATTGTGAGGTTGATGTGAATTATTGCCATGAATGTATTTTACCCTTCCTACAATAGTCTATACACTATTATTTTGTGTATGTTAAAAATTTGAATAAATAGTACAATACTGTTCATTTCTTTCGCTGTTTGCTTTTTCCATTCAACATCATCTCTTAGAAATACACCCGCTTTGGTATTGTGTAGATCTAGGTCAGACTTCCGTTTAATAAATAGACCTCCAATTATTTATCCATCCCTCTACTGTTGAATGGTTTCCACTGATATTCGAGGAAATAACAGAGCTGCAGCGAACACCATGGACATACCAGTTGTGTGCAAATGTGAGTTTCTCTTGGGGGGAATGTACTGAGAGATGCCAAATTGCTCTCTGGGGTGGTTATTTCTACCAGTTAGCACTCTCACTGGCAGTGGTACAGTGCCCATTTCTATACATCTTTGCCTACTACACTTGGTATGAACAGGCTTATTAATTATCCTAAACTGATGTGTGTCGTGAAATCTCACTGCTGTTTCACTTTTAAATTTGCTTATTTATGTGAGAGCCTGAGACTATTTTCATAATTTATTGACCATGAAGGTTTCCTCCTCTGGGAAGTGCCGATTCAGAATATTTCCCCATCTTTCTATTAGATTTGTCTTTACTGAATTCTTTATATATTCTAGTTACTGATATTTTGTCAGTTATATGGATTGCAAACTCTGTTCTTATCTTTTCATGTTTTTCCCTGCCTCTTGGCATGAGAGTTTATAATTTTAATTAGACAACTTGATCAAACTTTTTCTTGATGATTTATACCTTTCCTATCATTAACAAAATTCTGTCCCTACTCCACTGTCATAACAATATTTGCCTATACTTTCTTTAAAAAGTTGTAAATAGTTTTGTTTCTGACATGTGTGCCTTTTACACCATGAAAATTAATTTTTAATACAGTGGGAAATGATGACCTAATGTTATCTTCTTCCAAAATGAAGACATCTCATTAGTCCAGAATCGTTAGAGGTTTGGTCTATTCTTCCCTTACTGATTCAAAAGCCAACTCTGTCACCAAAAGCACATACACATATGTGGCTCTGTTTCCAGGCTGCCTGACGTGTTCCACTGCCCTCTGTATACACCCCAGGCCAATGCTGCACTGTTCTTTTTACCATGGCTATATGAGAAGCTTTGCTGTCTAGTAAGACAAATTTTGTTCCCCATCCCAACTTTCTCCCTTACCACATATATGGCCAGGTTCTTCAAATTTGTCTTAGCATTTCTTCACTTTTGTCAAATCCTGTGAAAAACTTTGTTAGGACTTTATCATTAGACTAGTGTTGAAACAATAAAGGTGGTATGTCTTCTTTATAGTAGCAAATCTCCCCACCTACAAACTGGTATTTAGATCTCCTTCCACATCTTTCAACAAAGTTTCCTTGTTTAACTTTGTTTTATCTGCAAAGGTATGTTACAAATAAGAAGTTGGGCATTTTTTAAAATTACACTTTCTAATTAATAGTTTCCAGGATATAAGAATGGTATTGATTTTTATATCGATCTTCTGTCCATCAACCATATAGAACTGTTATTTATTCTTGTAGCTTTTCTGTAGATCCACTTGGAATTTTTGTGTCAACAGAAATTTTGTCTGCAAAGAATGGCAATTTTGTTTCTGCCTTTGTAACTCTTATACGTTTTGTTTGTTTTTCTTATTTTACTGCACTGACTTAAAGCCTTTTATGCAATGGTGAGTCCAAGCAGTATTTGAAGCAATTCAGGTTTAATTCCTGGCTTCAGAGGGAAGATGTGTAATGTTCCACTCTCTAGGTATGATATTTTTGTATATTTGAGGCAAACTCTTTATCAGGTAATGACGTTCCTTCCTACTCCTAGATTTCTATCTTTTTTAATAAATGTGTGCTGAATTTGGAAAATTTTTTTCTTTTTTACATTTGAGAAGCAGTGCAATAGCATGCTTAGAAAACGGATTCCGCACTCAGTACCTGGAACATGATGAACATTGGGTACCACATTCTTTTCAAGGGCACGTGGCTCTCAGACTTGTTGGTGTCAATACCCTTAAAAAAGATTGAAGATCGCAAAGAGCTTTTGGTTTTGTAAGTTATGTATTTATCAATACTTATCATATTAGAAATTAAAATTGAGAAAAATTTTAAATATTTATTGATTTATTTTAAAACAGCAATAAATCCAATCCTTGCTAAGATAAGTGATAGCATAGAATAGAAAATGATGGGTGTACAACCTGGGGAACTCATCGCTTGATGGAGGGGTTTTCTGCTAGGCATGATGACAGATTTCTACCAAACACCAGCCAGAGCCTTTGGGTTGACTTCCAACAGCAGGTGGTGGTTGCTAATTAGAAAGAAAAGCATGCCATAGTGATTTCAAAACTACAGAATGAGAAGCCAAATATTCGCTAACAATTAGTCATCAAGTAGGAACAGCTGGTACAGGGTGAACACCTCTGATGACCCTCACCATGAGATAAACATCCAGGACCCACAGAAAATGTCCAATTGGATACCCCCTTGAACATCAACGGGAAAATGAGGCTGAAGTCTCTAGAACTCTGGGGCTGAGTTCAGAGATCACTTCTGTCTGGTTCTCTAATCACGCTTCTACAGGGCGCTAAACCCCTCAGTTTTTCCATTTGTAAAATAGGTTTCTTGGTTGCCACAGATCAATCCTGATGATATTTTAATTAAAACCGGGGAGATTGTCATTTATGACTGGGCTATTAGCAATGTGGAGAGTAGCACAAATTTCTGGTAATGAAGGAAAAAAATCTATTTTCGACAAAGTACTTGGAATTCCTAAAGATCTTGCTCTATACCCAATAGTTGCTTGAGAATAGTGTTATCATCACATTATAAACAAGAAAATATGCTTCCTTATCAACTGTGTCTCACCCAAGCTGTGATTCATTTCTGGCCTTATGAAAAGGGGATATTTATTTAACAAGAGCAGTTGCTGGAATTCATCAAAATAATACCTTTTGCTGAAATTATTTCTCTGTTCATGACATCATTATATACCCCCGGGAGTGGCTTTTGTGAAAGAGAGTTTATTTGATTTCTCTATTAGCTGGATCAGTAATCAGAAATTTGCTTTGAAGGGATTATTTCAAGATCATGTCAAATAACACCGGATCCTTCAGGAGGCATTTGCATCAGCTTCCTAAAACCTGCCTTGTAAACAGCAGCAACAGCTGATCACAGTGGGGCCAGCGGACCCTTCTCTTACTGCCCCACTTCTGCTCTTCTAAAATGGGCTTCCCCCTCCTCATATTTCGTTCTCCCATCTTCACTGTGATCAGTCCTGGAGGGAGACTTGCATCCAGCCACCTTGCAAAACAGATGTGTTCTAAGCATGATTTAATCACAACCTTCTAAACACACTATGTTCATGATCTTCAGTTTATGGGAGAACTGAAGAACTGTTCTCACTCTTCTGAAGTGGCAGCAACTAGCAAACATGGCTGAGATTAAAACCGCTGGGTGCTGGGCTTCCCGGGCATGGTGCCTCACTCTCGACAGGTGAGGCTTTCCCACCCCTGGAGAAGGGGTGAGGGGTGAGTGCCCAGCAGGCCCTCCTCTCTGCACCCCAATATCTCAGACACCTCGCCTCACCCCTCCCGTAGGCTCATCCTTTCCAAGAGTAACCCATCCACCATACCCCAGCTTCCATCCTCTCCTCCTTCCACCCACATTTTGATCCCTTAGTCCAAACCTCTCTGCATCTCTCCATTCCATTTCCATCAACACTTAGTGAACATCTGCCATGTGTCAAGAGTTAAAGAAGTAACATTCATCCAAGGAACCTAGGAATACCCAAATTTATCTGGCACTAGCTGGCCTTTCCTTTGAGGTTCCTGAGAAATATATACAGCAGAAAATGACCAAGTACTCAAGACTTTTTGTAAGTATTTTGGCATTGTCCCCAACTAGGGTGATCACTGTTCTGGTTTGCCTGGGACTGAGGAAGTTTCCAGAACATGCAACTAGAACAATTTCAGGCAAATTGAGGCAAACTGGTCATTGTTATGGATTCAGTTGTGCCCCCCCCCCCCATTCATATGTTGAAGTCCTAACTCCCAGTACTCAGAATGTGATCTTATTTGGAAATAGGGTCATTGCAGTTATAATTAGTTAATTAGCAATTAGATGGGGTCATCCTGGAGGAGGTTGGACCCCTAATCCAATATGACTGGTGTCCTTTTAAAACAGGAAATTTGAAAAAAAAGACAAAAGGGGGCCGGCCCCACGGCTGAGTGGTTAAGTTTGCGCCCTCCACTTTGGTGACCCAAGGCTTTGTCGGTTCAGATCCTGGACACGGACATGGCATTGCTCATCAAGCCATGCTGAGGTGGCATTCCACATGCCACAACGAGAAGGACCCACAACTAAAAATATACAATTATGTACCAAGGGGCTTTGGGGAGAAAAAGGAAAAAACAAAAAGGGGGGGTACATTTGAAGACAGGAAGGCACACAGGGAGACTACCATGTGAAGACGGAGGCTGAGACTGGGGTGATGCAGCAGAAGCCAAGAAAGCCAAACGTAGCCAGCAATCCCCGGAAGCCAGGAGAGAGGCCTGAAACGGATTCTCCCTCACAGCCCCCAGAACGAACCAACTCTGCTGACACCTTGGTCTTTGACAGAAGTCTGGACTCACAGAGCAACCATGCTGGATGGTCACAGGGAAAGCATGGGGTGGAATTTGAGGAGTCAGGGGACAGTGAAGCCACGGAGAGGGAGCGAGGTCACCTAGAGCTTCCTCAGGGTCCCAGAGGCTCTGGGGGCTTTTGAGGATGGGTATGAGTATGGGTAGTAGGACGGGATTGGGCATGGGTAGTAGGAACTCACATCCTGTTCCCATGCAGCACGTTGAGACTGGGCTGTGGCTGGGACCTTGGCAGGACTTCACGTGGGAATGAGTCAAGAGTGAGTCTCTCGGCCCCAGCAAAGATCTCCAGGCTAAGCCTGCCAAGGAAGCTCTGAAGCTACCTGCCTTCAAGGGCATCACAACACACTCCTTGAATAAGGGATGTGACCCAAAGGCCGGAGGAGCCTTTGATGAATGTTCTAGATTCCCCCATACCTTCAAGGCCTGGGTAAACCCAGAAGTGAGGAAGGAGGACCTCTACCCCATGAGGAGGACTGAATTTCCTACCAGTCTGGTTGATGGGAGTCAGAGCCTATTAAAGTCAATTTAGGAAAATAAAAACACTGTAACGTTTCTTATGTGCACAGATGTAGGGTCCCATCCATATCCACTACACATTCGTTGATTCAAACAAGATGTACTTTCAACTCCTGCAAGCTGAGGTGCAACAGACGGATGCCCCAGGGCCCGTTCCTTCTCCCAGCTACCTCGCCTCAACTGACCAGCAGGTACTATGGAGAGAGACACTTCTTCCCATAAACCCCAAAAAGTGGTCAATTCAGGGGATTCCTGAGGTGCTGTGCTGTGCTCCCTTAGAGGGAGAAGGTGGCCTGGGCTGGGGAATTGGGAGAGATGAAAAGGAGACAGAAGAGCCCAGAAAAATGGGAGACAAGAGTAAGAACTCTGATTTGCAAAGTGGCCCTCTAGAGTCCTCCAGGGCCTCTCTAGCATTCCAAGAGGCCGCCTCCTCTTGCCTCCTCTCCGTGGTTTGCATTTCTGCCCCAGCTATTTCTGGCCTCCACTCACAAACCAGGGTGCCTATCAGACTGGATTATAGCCTACAGCTCACTGCACTGTCACATTTGCCATCTGCAAACAGAAGGAAGTGTATTTCAGCCGGGGACAGGGAGAACTCAGGATCTGTGGCAAGGAAAAATGGGATGCAACGGAGGAGAAAACTCCATTACAAGCTCTCTGAGGAGCCAGGATCATCCATCTTCCTCTTCTGGCTGTCAGTGAGCAACTCTGCCTACATCTCCCACCATCTCTCTAAAGGAAAAAGAAACACAGCACATTATTCCCCTCTTTTAATTGCAGAATTAAAGGGATGGATGATAAAGCCCTCCATGAGCCTCACAACCTAATTTTTACTTTATCAGTATCACATCCTCCAGGTTGGGGGGAGGGGTGCCCACTTCTTTGACAAGACCTCACCTCTAGCTGTAGCCTTTTTACCTCTCCTAAGTATGTTCTATCCACAGTCCATCTTTCCATGATTAGTCTAAACACGGCTGGACGCTTTAGACCTCTCCACTGCCCAAATTATCTAGCGTTATCTTCCTAAGACCCATGAGTTTAACCGGGGGATTTGATTTTGACTTCAAAAGAGAAATCAAGAAAAACAGTCCTAAGAAAAGAATAAACTAATGACAGTGTCTTATTTTATTGCTTGCTGTTTGTGTTTATTTCCCCAGAGATGGAGCACTGTGGAGGGGAGCCCCGCTCTCAAGCATGAAGCCCAGTGCCCTGGTGAGTTGCGGTAGACTGTAAGATGGGTCACAGGCAATTACTACTGCTAATTAAAGTCTGTGAATAAATCTCTTTTCTAATAAAACAGAGTGTATCTAAGTTATCTTTACAATGAAATTACTTTCACTCACATTCTGATATGCTCTCTCGAGTGGAAGAAAAAGGTGTTGAAGTGTAAATAGCACACCTAGAAACTTCGAACACCTCGGCTCTTCCTCGGCTCGGGACACACCTGGACTGACGCCCTGTTAGTAATTATGGTAGTTAGAGACAGTTGTAGTAAAACTGCTTTTCAGGTTTTTCTTGAAATCTAGTTATACCCACGGGATGTATTTAGAATGTGACACCATCTGTCTCCTGTCTTACAACAGAAAGAGTCACTGGGCTTGAACTACCTAAAAACTCAGATTCCAGATCCATCCTGCCTTTGCTCCCCAGAGGCACCACCTCTCTGTGTCTCAGTTTACACTTCTTAAAAAATGACCGTGACACATGACCTCCCTCATAGGGTCCTTGCTGAGATAAAATGAACTATAGAACATCCTCGACTTGCTGAAGTTCAGATGACGAACTTTCAAAAATAGCGGGAAAACTGGAGCAGAGGAAAAGCTCTTCAGCTCTGCCTGACACCAACAGAAGGCGCTAGGTGTCCCTTGCGTGGAGGACAGAGGGACCCAGGAACTTTAGTTTGAGAATCTAAACTATCTGGGAGGCCTTGGAGGAAAACGCACCTTAAGTTGGGAGGGTTTGAAGTCATTGCCAAGACTTACGAGGCAGCTTTTCATCTCATGCTCTGCTGGCCTCTGCCAATGAGCATGTTTTTGCCGGTGAACTCAACAGTAGGGGGGCCATTCATCCAGGTTTATGCGTGTTGTCATGGAGTAATTGTAAATAACGTCTCCTTTCATAGTCAGTGTCCTGATCTGTAGGATAAAACATCTGGTCACCCTACCAGTGGGACCCTTGAGAAGCCATTTGTTTCAGAGTCAGCATCTGATGGCTGGTGCCAAGACTGCACTTTGCATCCTTGGCAAATGACACTCTGCATCAGGAGAGGGCAAAATAGTATGACTGCTCTATTTTGACTTAGAAGCTAAGCGGTAGTTTTTGTGGTACAGGGGTTCTCACCCTCAGCACTATTGACATTTGGGCCTGGATAATTCTTTGTTATGGGGCTGTCCTGTGCATGGAATTAGTCTATTTGGGGCTCTGTGGGGAGGGGCAGGAGAAGTTGAGAAATAGAAAGAGAAGAGAGGGACAGAGAGAGGAGTGGAGGTGTAGGTAGGGATAGAAGTCAGTGAGGGGGTGTGGGGCTGGGGACGACGGGAGTGAAGGAAGAGGATGAGTAGTCTCTGGTGGTGGTTGGCCATGTTAAGAACAGGGAAGCGTGATGTTAATTTTGGAGCTGTCTCTAGGATTATAATATTACCTTCCTTATCTCCCCCACAATTTATCCGTAAAGTTGATTCTACCAGTAAATTTTATGCAAGTGGAGTTTAAGTGGAAAAAAAAATCGAACAGGAGCCAAGTTCCAAATTGACACAGGCAGTACAGAATCAGCACTTCCTAAAGCAGGAGCCGAGTAGCAGAGTGGGGGCCTGGGGACCCGGAGCCCGTCAATGATTCACAGTAGTCACGGGAAAGACTCTGAATTTGGGGGTTTGATGACAATCTTATCTAGACCACAAAGAGTGACAAGGTCCCACCCACCATCAGAGTCATGTGTCACAGCCACCCTGTCACCCTACATCTCTTACTGTCACTTTCACAGTTGACTCTCTAATCCCTCTTTTGTTTTTACAATACCGAGAAGGCACCCCGAATGTGAATTATCCTCAGTGGAGATCTTCAATGATCTTCAAAAAGACCAACACTCCCCGAGCAGGGATGGAAACTGGGGAGATCAGACCTGAAGCACGAGTGAGCAATAGATCCATGTTAAATCTGTGGGAACTGGAGCACTGGTTCATGGTTGCAAAGGGCATGTGGGAGAGGGGGAAATGGGGAGTGACTGCTAGTGAATTTCTATTGGGGGTGATGAAAGTTTTCTGGAATTAGATAGTGGTGGTGGTTACATAACTTTGCAAATATTTTTTTTAAAAAGCCCTCAATTAAAAAAAAAATAAATAGGACGGGTCCAGTGCAGACTTTGGGAATGGCAAGTTGCAGAACCTTGACAGTGTCATCAGGCCCCGTCTCTCTCCATCTGCAGTTCTTTTTTGCTTTGGGTGGCTCCACGCTCAGATGACCTTCTCCACTTGGTGGCTCCTGCAGCTCTGGGCTTACATCCTCCCCGCTCTGAATCAAGCCCAAGAAAAGAGAAGTTCTCTTTTCTAAACATTGCACAGAACTTTTCAGCTTAACTGTGGTCAAGGCCATCCCTGAACCAGATATTGTGGCCAGCGGGGTGGAAGATGCTGATTGGCCTAGGCCTGAGTCAACTACTCACCCACTCTAGTCGCACTGGGGGACAGGGGCAGAGGGAGTTGTCAATCTCAAGCAAACCACAGGCAGTGAGAGTGGGGAATGGGTGGGTGGCTCCCCAAGGATAAATGGAGCGTTGTTACCAAAAGCAGAAATGGATATTAACCAGGAAAATACACCAGAGGTTGAGTAACTAGCTGGATGACCTTGAGTAAGTCTCTGTGCTTTAATTCCTGCATTTGTAGAATGAGAATAATAGTAATACCTGCCTTCCCAAGTGGTTCTAAAGATTAAATGAGTTAAATGATATAAACCACTTCGAGAGAACACAGCAAGCACAATATAGTGTTAACTACCCTCATTATTATCTGAAGCAGTATCTGTTCTTAGATGTCTATAATTAGCTTGTTACTTACTTCCTCACCAGAATGAGTCTTTCTTTAGCTGTCAGCAATTTTTGAACACTCTTTGGCAACAGTAAGTCAGTTCTTGTTTTTCTGCGTAAAATGACTATAAAGCAGTTTGCAAATTTCTACATAAGATTGAAGTAATAATAATAACAGCCCCAGTAACTGCTGTAAGGTTACCAGGCTACAACTACAATCCTGTCCAGCCTTTCTCCTAAGTCCAAATTCCAGACATTCTTCAGTTGAAAGGGTTCCTACAACTGGAATCCAGAACCACACAGGACGGAATGTTCTAGATCAGAAATCTAAGTGCCTTGACAAGGAGACTGCATTGTGGCCATTCCTGCAATTCCCTGGAGATTCACACACTCTCCAAGAGAAAAGTGGCCATTTGTGATTCTCATTGATCCCAGAGCCTTTTTTTCCTTTCAAAGCGCTCATGCCAGAGAAAAAAAAGCAGAACTCCAGGTCTATACGTGTCACGTTGCATTAGAGCTTATTTCCAGAAACAAATGACTCCATTAAACACCAGGAAAGCCTTCTCATATGTGGACAACCAGCTGAAAACATAGAAATTGAATTTCACACTCATAGCACCGATCCGTCCTTATAACACAGTCCCCAAAAGTACTTCAAATGATTTCGTGTGAATAGCTTCTGAGACACGATTGTAGGATATGATTGCTTTGGGAAAGGGGGCAATAAGGAGGATTATTTCATTATCTTTGTCAGTTTTGACACAAGCTGACATTACAAAAGGAATTAGCAACCCAGTAGACTATTAAGGGAATAAATAAATGTTTAATGTAGTTTGGAAGACATTGCAATGAGGACCCGCATGGATAATCCACTACTTTCATTAGGATGTGCTTATGGTTGAAAGTCAAATATCTAATAATCCAAAAAAAGAAAAGTTATACTTATTATTAAGAGAGATAATATGTATAACTATATCCCAAACTATAATTTGTATGGGTGCTGCTGACCTCAAAGCCCAGGCAAAGGGGTGGGCTTGGCTAGAGCCTTCTCATGCAGACTCTGGGACCTGGGGCTGCAAGTGGCTTCTAGTTACCTGGGCAACGAAGGAGGAAGCCCAAGTATCTATCCTCTACCCAGACCTGCTGTCTTTCCTGGTAGGGCAGGGAGGAGAGGGGCCAAGTAACTCCCAATCTGTAAATATCCCCTAGAGATTCATCTATTGCAGGGATGGCAGAAAGATATTTTCATCCCATCAAGGCTGAGCAGATTCTCAGCCAGCTATTTCCATCCCCACCTTTAGTTTATTGAGCCTCAGTTTCCTTGTCCATAAAGTTGGGATGTCTACTCATAATGTGCTCTGAGGATTAAATGAGGTGACACACTGAGCACAGCGCCTGGCTCCTGAGAGTTGTCCCCCATTCCTCTCCTCCTTTCTAACACAGAAGAAGGAGGGGATTCTCAATTCCTCTTTAAACCACAGTAACAAACTCTAGGCTACAAATTCCTGTTTGCTGTGGAGTTTATAGGGAGCCGAGAAATACAATTCTTTTGAAGAGAACTACATTCACTTTTGTTACCTCTAATTTTCGGTGTGACCTGTGATAAGCCTCCGGGTAGGTCTGACTCTTGGGTACCTGAACAAGTTGGTCCTCACAGTGACTTCCAGCTCTGTCATTTGCTGACAGATTCTCTAACATGGTCGAGGCTCTTTAGAGTGAAATTTCCAGGGATTGTTTACCTGAACCCCTTCTTTTTCCAGAAATATCATCCCCATCCACAAGGCTATAGGGGGTCCCTTATTTATCACGCAGCCTGGCTTCCCCTGATCAGAAGTGGCTCTTCCAGGCCCCTGACCCGAAGGGGGAACCAGAGTTCTTCTCCACGAATTATTCTGGAGTGGGAAAGAGCTATGGGAAGCAAAGAAATCTAGCTCAAAAGATGCTGATGACTACCTTGCCTGCCAATTGGTGGGAAACAGGCTGCAATGAGAGAGAGGAAAAAGCCAACGCAGAGAGAGATGCAGAGAGCAAAGATTCAGGGGGAGTCCAGAGTCTAGTCAGTACTTGACTGTCTAACTCCAATTGTACCAGATGCCACCTGCACCCATCTCCTCCCTGCAGTTTGGATGTTTCCTTCCTTGGATTCTATGAGCCAAAGAATTCTCTTTTTGGCAAAGCTGGTTTGAACTGGATTTCTGTCACTTGCCACCAAAATCCTGACTTGGACGGCTATTTTTACCTGAGTCAAACTTCTCTCATCTTTATTTGGGATGGCATAGTTGTCTCTTTTTCTAAGTTTTATTTTGTTGTGGTAAGAACATTTAACATGATTTGTACCCTCTTAACAAATTTTTGAGTGTACAATACAATGTTGTTAACTGTAGGCATGATGCTGTACAGCACATCTCTGGAACTTGGTCATCTTGTATAACTGAAACTTTATGCCCAGCGATTGGCACCTCCCCATTTCCTTTACTCCTGGTCCCTGGAAACCACCATTTCACTCTGATTCTGTGAGTTTGACTATTTTAGATGTCTCATATGAGTGGAATCATGCAGTATTTGTCCTTCTGTGAATTCAGTAAAGTTGCAAGATACAAGATCAACTTACAAAAATTAGTTGTGTTTCTGCACACTAACAACGAACTATCAGAAATGGAAATTAGGAAAATAATCCCACTTACAAGAGCACCAAAAAGAATGAAATATTCAAGAATAAATTTAACTAAGGATGTGAAAGATTTGGTACACTGCAAACTACAGAACGTTACTGAAAGAGATCAAAGAGATACAAACAAATGGAAAGAAATCTTGTGTTCATGGATTGGAAGAATTAAAATGAAAATACTACCTAAAGCAATCTACAGATTCAATGCAATTCCTATCAACATCCCAATGTCATTTTTACAGAAATAGAAACAAATTCTAAAATTCATATGGAACCACAAAGGACCTTGAATAGACAAATAAATCTTGGGAAAGAAGAATAGAGCTGGAGGTTTCACACTTTCTCATTTCAAAATATATTGCAAAGCTACAGTAATTAAAACAGTATAGCACTGGCATAAAGACAGACATATGGTCATGTGTCACAATGACAGGGAGACATTCTGAGAAATGCATCACTAGGCAATTTTGTTATTTGCAAACATCATAGAGAGTGCACTTACACAAACTTACCTTGTATAGCCTACTACACACTTAGGCTATATGGTACTAATCTTTTGGGACCACTGTCATGTACACAATTCATCATTGACCAAAATGTCATTATATGGTACACAACTATAAAGACCAGTGGAACAGAACAGAGAGCCCAGAAATAAATCCATGCATATACAGTCAACTGATCTCTGACAGGAGTGCCAAGAATACACACTGGGAAAAGGATAGTCTCTACAGTAAATGGTGTTGAGAAAACTGGATATCCACATGCAGAAGAATGAAATTGGACCCTTATCTTACACCATACATAAAAATAAATCAAAATAGATGAAAGACTTAAATGTAAGGCCTGAAACAGTAAAAATCCTAAAAGAAAACATAGGGGAAAATCTTCGTGACGTTGGTCTTGGCAATGATTTCATGGACATGACATCAAAAGTGCAGACAACAAAAGCAAAAATAGCTAAGTGGGACTACATTAAACTAAAAAGCTTCTGCACAGCAAAAGAAACAACCAACAGACTGACAAGACCACCTATGAAATGAGAGAAAATATTTGCAAACCATGTATCTGATTGAGGGTTAATTACCAAAATATATAAGGAACCCCTACAATTCAATAACAAAAAAACTAATAACCTGATTTTTTAAATGAGCTAAAGACTTGAATAAACATTTCTCCAAAGCAGGCATACAAATGTCCAGCAAGTATATGAAAATATGTTCAGCATCACTAATCATCAGGGAATTGCAAATCAAAACCACAATGAGATATCGTCTCACACATGTTAGGATGGCCATTATCAAAAAAACAAAAGAGAGAAAATGTTGCCAAGGATGTGGAGAAATTAGACCCCTTGTGTGCTGTTGGTGGTATGGCATGGTTTTCAATATTTATTAAACCTACTCTTATGCTACCTTTGAAATTCAGCTTATGTTGCAACATACTGTTACTTCGGGGGAAAACTAGAGGTTCCTCAGTGGTATATAATCTGAAATTTCCAGGCCTAGCAGACATCCTTTCCACAAGGATCTGAAAAAGAAGACCAAATCAGAGAGCAGGTCACCACCAGCCCAGAAGGGAGGGTGGAGAGACAGGACTGTCTGCAATCCTTCAGAATTTGTTTTCAGTTATTGTCTGTAAGTGTGGATTTATCACATGAATTTTCCTCTAGGAAGTTTGAGAACAATTAGGCAGAGTAAAAAGTCAACAATTACTCCAGGCTCTGGAGATCTGCATTCTAGCATGGCTGGGCAGGATTACCCTGGGGCTCAGCCGTTCAATGAAGTTGAGTGTTTTGTGAAGCATCAAAGACTCAAGATTTCTCAAAAAATTCCAAGAAGAATCTTGTTTCCCAGGCAACAGCTTTTCTGTTGCTGTCTTTCAACTAGCTCCCCCCAAATTAATCATGAATGTGAATGAAAGTGCTTCTCAAGCTAAGTGACCACTGCCCTGCTCTGCCTATTGAGATAGTAAGGGAGAAATCCAGAATAGAATGAGGTCTTATGAACATCAATGGCACCAGTCAATGGTAAGTGTCCAGACTATAGCTGAGTGGCTGTAATGCTGGTCAAAACAGGGTCTGCCAAACTCAAATGCTATAGGAGCACACATTGTCTTCAAGGAGGCTGATGGTTCTGGATAAGATGCAGTGTTTGCCTTCTGCATTCGATGCCATCCCTGACAGGGAATACGGACTGCTCACTGGCTCTTATCAAAGAATGCCTTCAGACACTGCTTGTACCAATATTTTATGCTATGGTTTAACTGTTGAAGTGTTTATTATTTTCAGCGTCAAAACATGTCAATTTGGGTCCTTTAGGCTGCAGTATCAGAAAACCAACTCAAACTGAATTAAACTGGAAATCCATTACTTACATAAAAGGAAGTCCAAAGATAGGGTAGGCTCTGGGGTGGTTGATGTAATCAGACTCATGATACAATTGAGACCCAGGCTTTTTGCATGACTCTACTCTGTTGTCCAAGGTCAACCACATTCTAAAGCTGGTTTTCCTCCTGGTTGTAGGGTGGCTTCTAGCAGCAACCAGGACTATATTCATCCTTGTCCACATCCAACAGGA